CCTGGCCATCCCAACCTGTGTTATTAAAGGAGACCTTCAGAATGTCAGGCTGTGTGGATTTTGCCTTGAATCACTCCGAATATTACCCACACAAAATGCATTTCATACCATGTCAAAAGCATAGGTGTGGGTATTGGGGTTTTTTTTAACATAATAGTATCCAGGTAGGTAGAAGACAAAAAAGTGACATTCTAATAATATACTTCATGAAATTATGACATTTTGAAAGCTATAAAATCACTTTGTTTCATAAACAGAACTACAGCAAAATCATTCAAAGTTGATTTATAGTTATTATGGACTACTGGATTACTGACTGTAAGCAAATAACAGTTTAAAGAATCAATCTTTTAAGATGTGACATTTTTGCTAAAAATCCCCAAGTTTTCAGATGCAGTGAGAATTCACAGCATTTCTGTTCTTAACAGCATCTTGTTTCATTGGAAAAGTTTTAGTCTATTATCAAGTGATCCCATAAAGCAGGGCAGAGCTAATGGTTTTATTAAGTATATTTACTTCAGGCTAAATGGAAGGAGCAATTACATCCCACTTAGACAGGAAAACAGCTGGAACCAGCTGAAACCACCTTTCAGTGCAGCAGAAAATATAAAAAAAGGCCTGATCAGAAGCCTGACAGGTTTGCTGACTCAAAAACACAGGGTGAAGGAATTGTCTGTCCAGCTGGGTTAGGAAGGGGCACAGCGGTCTGGGAGGAAAGTAGTCCTGAAAATGCATCTGCAAACAGGGCACTGAAAACAGACAGGCAACATTTTTGCCATGCCTGCTTCAAGATATTTAACCTCACAGCTGAATTTTCCTCCATGGACCTCAAGGAAACAGGACACTCTGCAGCCTTCCTATGTCAAGAGAAGGGCACAGGAGATAACCTTGAGCCAGTCAGTCTTTCTAACACAACAAATGTGCAAGGCTTTAATTGATCTGACTGCTTGGTCTGAAAAAAGAGGCAACAAAAGAAACAAAGTAAGCTGTAACAGCTGAAAGGCACCTTATTTCTGCTTTAAACATTTTTTTTTTCAGATGGAACAGGGCTGCAATATATCTTCTAAATAGTGCTTTCTCCTACCTGAAAACAGTTATGAGTAACTTCCTTAATTCAAATAAGTAGCCTTTGAAATGCAATTTCTATAACACTGTCTTCATTATGAGACTTTTTGCAATATGCACCACACCACCACCAAAAAAGAAAAAAAAAAAGAAAAAGAGAAGGAAAAAACAAAAAGGTAAGGAAAAAGAAGAAAAAGAAAGGAAAAGGAAAAGAGAAAGGAAAAGGAAATTGAAAAGAAAAAGGAAAAGGAAAAGAAAAACAACAAGGAAAAGAAAAAGGAAAAGGAAAACAAAAAGAACAAGGAAAAGAAAAAGAACAAGGAAAATGAAAAGAAAAAATAACAAGGAAAAGAACAAGGAAAAGGAAAACAAAAAGAACAAGGAAAATGAAAAGAAAAAGAACAAGAAAAAGAACAAGGAAAAGGAAAAGAGGAAGAACAAGGAAAAGAAAAAGAAAAAGGAAAAGGTAAGGTACCGTTTTTGTGTTATTGTTGGAGGAAGCAAAAGCATCTGGAAAGGGAAACTCCAGGAGTGGGACTTCAAGAGTTTCACACTTCTAAGCCTTGGTGACAAGTTGGGATTTTGTGTAAGCAGGAGAATTGCCAAAGAATTGTAGATGGTGGTAATGAGAAACCCCAGCACATGAGGAGGAATGTGATTAGGGAGGCCTGGAAACTGTGAATTGAGAACTATCTAATCAGCAAAAAGAAATTATTGTGCATCTGTTAGCCATTTGAGCAACACAACTTATCTTTCCTACATATTACTTTTTTGCCTTTCTACACTGGTCATTTCCAGACTAAGGACAGCAGTTTTCCTTGTCCACTATGGGCCCATATATCTTCTTTGATATTACAGGATCTATAAGTCAGGCAGAGTTTTCCAATGGAACCGCTTAAAGCCTTTTCCTACCAAGAATATAACAAAAAACACTCATAAAATTCTAAACTCTAAAGTGGTGTTTCACCACAGCCCCAAATGAAACAAGATGCCTTTAGAAAAGGAGGAACCAAGAACGAGATGGATTATAACTAAAGAGTGTGTTCAGATGTTTCCTCTTTCACTGTGTGCTTGCAGAGCAAGTTGTAGGTCCTTATTCTTAGTGATGCAATTTTTAGTGGCTGCCTGTGATAAAATAAAACCTACACACTCTCTCCTAAGTCCCCAAACCCAGTCTTTATTTCTGTCCTTTTTGACAACATGCCCATCTCTAGCTCCCTTCAAGAGACTCACTGTTCCTACATTTAATACTATGAATTCTCAATTTGCTCCTATCCCCACTTCACGCCGTGGAAGCTTTTTCACCTGGGCTTGCCCATTTGCTCTCAGACCAGATGTTACTCCCCGCTCTGTCCCACAGGCTCCATCTGGCCTACAGTGAAAAGGAGGGAAGAAAATAAAATGGCAGTCCTCATCCCATTTGTCCAGACACTCCCTTTCTAAAAATGTCGTGTCAGGAATATTGTAAACAATTTAGACAGCATCCATTACCTTTGCCTTGAGTTATTCCAGGGTATCCCGTTCTCTGGAAGTAAAAATATCGCCCTACTGCTTCTGTACAGAGGAGATGGTGACTCCTTCCAAAACTGCTACTACATCAGTCTGAGGTGATGAAGTAAAAATAATTTGCTCTTGCTGGGGATTCAGGCCAGACAGTTAAGCAAATCTTTTCAATATAAGTATGTGCTGAGTTTATTTGCATGCCTCATAAAGCTTGAGTATTTGCTGTAAACTGTTGGTATCAATAGATTAATGATAAATATGTGTGTCTGACAGGAAAATGTGGTAACTGAATTCTTGGTCTTGTCCATCTGTTGCTTGTGGTTTGTATATCTCCATATCATGTTATGCTTGTTTAGGTTTCAGCTGCTTGTCACATGTACGAGTGTATACACATACACATATATATATATATATATCTACAGGAGGGCTGTATATGGTTTAGTTTACAATCCTGTTCCCTTCAGTTCGATGCAGGAGCCTGTGAGTGTGTGCCAGCAAACACAGACGGTGTGTGCTCATCGCTCTGAGCCAACTTCTCTCCCTGTCCCGAGTGCTGAGTGTGCACTGTGCTGGTGGCACGGCTGAGCCCATGGGAAGCACACATATCCTGACAGATTCCTGTGGTTACAGACACACCTGCTGGCTTTGCTCAGTCCCACACGTCTCTCTCTCTGCAGGCACACAGAGTGTCCATAAAGAATCACAGAATCGTTAGGGTTGAAGGGACCTCTGGAAGTCGTCCAGTCCAACCCCCACGGCAAGGCAGGGTCAC